TCTCTCTCTCTCTCTCTCTCGCGTAGAAAGAAGGCCTCGACCAAAAACCGCATGCACATCCCTAGGTGGAGCAGCTCCTCGCGAAGCACCGGGCTCAGTACGACTCCGAGGCGCCTCTGCACAAAGACGGGTTTAGGCGGTTTAGGGTGCATTAAGGGTTTGGGGCTGAAGGGGGTTTAGGGGTTCAAGGGTTTCACCATCTCAGAAAGGCGGCACCTGCCCAAAATCCCCCGCGGAAAGGCCCGACATGTCTCTCTTCCCCGGAGTATTTCAGGAAGATCCCCTTGAAGATGTGTTCAACGGAGGAGTTTACGCGCAGCTGCAACGTTGCCCTCATGGGCCCGAGACCGAGCATGGGAGCTTGATGCGCGAAGAGTCGTTTCTGTTATTAAAGTCGGTGAACTTGTCGGGATGCTGGCTCTTCCGTTCTTGCGGCATCCCCGTCTGACACGATGTTTTTGCTTGTATTTTGCTGTAGGGTTAACAACCCGGAACCTGAAGCAAAGCTTCGGATGGATTGCGGAGGCACTGCGTACCGATGGGCCTGCGGAGAGACCTTCGCCAACATCATGCAGGAGTCCCCCTTTCAGGACAGAGCATCGACGACAATTATCGACGGGTAAGCGAGTGGTGAATTGCAGCACTCGTGCTCTCCTATAACACGAAAATTTACAGTGCGTATACTGATGCAAGTACCAATGCCAATACTAATCCGAGGAGCAATACTGCCAGCCTAATAAATTATGCACAGACTATACTGTACTGTATAATACTCTACTAGACTATATGACATTATACTTCATATTAGCTTACAAATAATATAATATAGTGTTACTATAGTATATTAATTATGATATACATTAATTACTATACCAGAAGAAAGGCCGCCGTTCCCGCCGGAGCCAGGAAGGTGCCATTGTCCGGGCCATCGTTCGGGCAGAGGAGCTGCTCCGGAAGCTCCAGGCACTCCCTGGGCTTCTAAGGGTTTAGGGTTTAGGGGTTAGCGTCTTAGGGAATAGGGTTTGGGGATTAGCGTTTCAGGGTTTAGGGATTAGGGTTGAGGGTTTTAGGGGTCTATAGGGATTTAGGGTTTACCGTAGATGGATTTGTGGCTTTGGCCCTGTGTGGCACCGAATCCCAAGCTGTCGAGCCGCCAGGAGGTGGCCAAGATGCTGGGCAATAGCGTCCTGCAGAATGCCGGCGCCTCGTGTCCACAAGAAGCGCAGCGCATTTGCGGGAACCCTATAGTATTATAGGCCCTAAACCGCGCCACCGTTCGGGGAATCCATCAAACTTCCTTGGCTCTTGCCCCGGAGGTTTTCTCGGAAGCAGCTGACCTGATCCACCGGGACATCGCGTTCGTACCCTCCCTGTACATTAAGCAGGCTTGAGAAGGAGCTTCTCGATCTGGCTTCTAAAACTCGCCTCCTGCGTCTCACCTTCATGGGAGAATGGCTTCGTCGAAGAGAGAAAAGCGGCCACGAGCTCCCGAAGTTCCCAAAGCTCTCTGCGGTTTTTTCCCGATGTTCGCAAGGAAGCAGAGGAACTGCGATTCGGCCTTTGTGTCCAATTCCTACTAGTCGGGACTGACCCTCGATGTCTCGAGACATGGGCTTTCCTGAGGCTGCTATTTTGGTTCGAGCGCGTCTCACAGAGATGGGGGCCAGGAACTCTTGAGGGCAGAGTTGATGCGCCCCGACTGAGATTCAGGGGTAGCAACGGGGTTTCGCATCTAAGTTAGGCCTTGGGGTCTTTTCACGTGGCGTGTTTAGAGTTAAGGTTTAAATTCAAAGGCCTTGCAAGCTCGTTTGTTTACTGTTTTCCATCGTAACACGCGGACTTGTGCAGGAAGCGAGATGCGGACGTGGTTTGGTGATGGTGATGAAGGACGTTTTCCAGATTCGTATTCGGAGCGCGCGAATGGGTCGAAGCTAGTGAACATTTGCTCCTATTGCGCATGAGTCCTGGCCGAGTAATGCCATATCATGGTCTTCACACCTCTATGGCTACAGGAACGTAATGCCGGGACCGTTGTAGCATGCTTGACCCTCTTATTGCCGCTTGGCATCTGGCAGCCGGGACTTCAGGTGTCAAAAGTCTGGGGTTTGGGGCTTTAGAGGGTTTTGTAGCGTAGGAGTTCTTCATACAAGGGTTCAGTTGGGCGTGTACATCATCGAGGGTTTAGAGTCAATAGTGTGGTGAGGTTGTGCTTTGATCATGTCGCAACGGGCCTGCTGCTCAATTATCTAGGTATTTTCACCCAAGCCAGCGCTGAGACTTGTTCCGCTTCGATGCATCGTGGCCACTTGCTCGAGGCACTGCAGAAGATAGTTCCTAGTCATGATTTTGCCTTTTTGAGAAGTAGCTTATCAAATATCCATGCATGTGCTCTCCGAATGCTGGATCCCGAAGACTCGCATCATCTTCTAGAGATGGAGCGTATTTCATCTGTGGGTTCTGCTGTGAAGAGTCCTTCCTGGTGCCTGGTGATAGGGGCAGGGCTTGCTGGGCTAGCAGGTGCATGCTTGATTCTGGCAGCATTTCTTTGGCCCGGCTCCCGTGTCTCCAGCGGAGAGCTCGTCCCACCGATCTATGGTTTGGGCTTGGTGCCAGAGGGCTCAGATCCCTTGGTTGCTTTGAGCAGGCTGGCTGAACTCGAGGGTCTGCCAGAGCTGCCTCCAGAAATCGGCGAGATGGCCTCCCTCCACAATGTCTCCACGGAAGCTGCGAAGCGAAGGTTGAGAGACCTTGGTCGAGCAATCAACTTCCACAGACCTACCGCCATGGAGGAGGAGTCATACAGAATGTCGCAGTGCGTGGGTGCGACTTACGACATGGCCACCTACCTCGGCTGGGCAGGCTTGAACATCGATGCTTTTGCCATAGAGGGCTTGTGTCCCGACAAAGCAGATGATAAGAGCTGCTCGGCACAAGCTGTCGGCCTTATCTTCAACCTCTTCTGGGTGATAGCCAATGCGGCGCAAATCCCCGTGTGGTGCCTGGCAAGAAACATGACGAACTCGTACATTTCTAAAACCAATGCCTGCGTGGCGACATTCAGCGTCTTTTTTGCAACGGTATTTCAGATGACAGCTGATGGTCTGACGGCCAGGGCTGATTGTGACTTCAGCGAGGATGACGAGGACGAGGACGACGACGCAAGGCTTCTCATTCCTGGCATCGGCGCCTTTAAAGCAAGAGTCCGCCGACGTTTGCATGAATTGAACCTTGCTGCAGCTCAGATGCCTCATCACCCAGTTTTGTCTCGGCGAAACAGATCAGACCTGCCCTCGCGACTGCCACCTAACAGCTGGGTCAAGTTGCAGGATCGGCTTCTTCAAGACGTCGCAGCTTTGGGCCCTGATGACACTCGGGCTCAGGAAAAGGGCATCTGCGGGCTTATTATCGCACAGACGATCAACGACTTCCCCTACACGGGCACTGACATTTGGGCCCTGTTGAACTCTTGCTCGGAGCTCAACTGGAAAAACGGCAGCGATTACAAGATAGTACAAGAGGACTGTGCAGCCGGAGCTCTCGCTGTCATTGCCGACTTGGTGAACCTCGCGACGGATATTGCGGTGATCATCGCAGCCTGCCTTGGTCCAGAGCAGAGGCCGCGAAAAACCGTCTGTGTGGCGGTCGGAACTGACTTGACCTCCAATCTGCTTTCACTAGGAGCTTGGGCCCTGACTGTGGAGCATAGCTGCAACTTGAACCATACTGAAATTCTCTCCCCCATTGACCTGTCGATTGGGAGTTAGACTCGGTGATTGTTAGAGTGCCGTTTTAGGTGTGGCTTACGTGCCAGTTCCCTGTAGGTTTTTTTTTGTGCTGGGTGCGGCAAGCCATCATGCTAAGTTTTCCTTTTGGCAGCTGCCGTCACCTCGCCGTTTGGTCTGGGCGGCGTGAGAAGGATCCCGCACAGGCCGTGCTTGCAAGCCACGTCAGGGGTTCCTACGGAGGGCCTCATGGGCTTAGAGAGTTTATTGGGTTTAGTTTAGTTTAGGGTTTAGCCGCAGATTCTTCGTGCTGTCAACTCAGGAAACTTGAAGCGATAGTCCAATCTCCATAGCCTCGGTCTGAGGTTAAAAGGAATCGTACTCGGCATGGTGTCGTGGGATTGGGTGTGGCTGGCTTGCGATTTCTGCCTGGTGACATGAGCAGGTAGTGATAGGAACTGTCAGTGAAACTCGCTGTAGACTTCAGGAACTTGCCAAGCAAGATAATTCGTGCCTCCATTTTGCTGGTCCTGTCGACAGACAGTAAGATGCCACAACAAAGTCTGCTAGACTACATTGCTACGTCGATTTTAGGTACCATCTCTGTGAAAGATCCGATGCCCCTAGGCCCGAGGGTGTATGGGCCAGGGCCAGTTGATAATGCCAGGTGTGCGGAGCCCCTGCAGCTACGCCGGAATGCAGCGATCCGATGCAGATCGCGATGGAAGAAACACCCCGAGCGTTCCCTCCTCCCTCCCTTCGCTGCAAGATGTGCTTAGCAGGTCTCCAGAGATCTCCAGAGCCCACAAAGAGTTCCCAAGATCTCTGCTATGGTGAGGTTGACAGGTGGGAGGACGGGACCAGTGCGAAATCCAAGCAGCTGGAAGAACCATAACTCTTGCATCAGCCCTGACATGCCCTGATCCTTGGTCCTGCTCATTGCAGGTATGCAGGTCCTGATTAGCATAGGTGTTGTTTCCATTGACACATAGTAGTACTCAGATCAGGCTGCTATCTGAAAGCAAAAAACGCTCCACCACAAAGGTTGTGCCGTAGTAATCTATGAAAAAATGAATATGTATTATAGGTGGTGTGGCTGTGAAGTTGTAGTAGAAGTGAGAGAAGGTAAGAAGCCAGCTTTCCACTGTAGTTTAGGCACGCAGCCCGCATGTGTGCAGACGCGAATACTGGGCCGGGCGCGCACATGTACACGTACGCAAACACATCCATTTCCATGGACGAAGCAATCCGTGCTTGTGAATTCTGAAAGCTATACTATAACAAGACCTAAAAGCCCTGAGCGTTGGACGAAACATAAATTTAGGACTTGTACTGCTCCCTTGCGAGTTTGAGGTGAGGGTTCAGAGCGTGACAGCGTGTCAGGAGACCAGCACTCTTGAGTGGACAGCTCGCATCGACCATTTCTGTTGTGAGTTGCCATGGGTTGCAGCATCTGCATTTGGAATGGGTAGGAAGAAGTACAGACGATGACGATCTCGGCACAATCACCAACTGCTATCCGATGTGTGCTACGGAGATGTTCTGTTGTTGCTGTATCAAGCATGTACAACAGCGAGTTTGCTGTGGATGAGTGATGCGAGCCGAATGTGCCCAAAACAGTGCGCTTGCAGGTTAAGCTTTTGAGAAAGCAGCAGCAGTCACAATAGCAGTCCTAGCAACTACTCGAAGTTCAGTCTTTTGTTCGATCCATGTTGTTTCAGCCAGAGCTGCATGCGGGAGTAATCCGACAAGCAAAAGTCGCCATTCCGAACGGGATCACGACGGCAAGGATGTAAGTGGATGTTTCTGGGATACACATTATTGCAGTTAACATGGCACTCCTACCAATTCACTGGGAAGACAGGAACACCCGCACTGATGCAACTGGCAGGAATGATAGCTACCACATCAGTTTATCAGTAGCTTCTGACAACTATTAGAAAAAGCCGTGCGCCCAAACCACATCATGATCAGTAGTGGATGGTGGCAGTGACTGTCGTCCTGTCACCATCCTCCTAAGATTCTTTACATCATCACAACTTACATCTTCATCTTCATATCCTCCTCCTCCTCGGTATCCTCAGCATCCTCATCATCATCATCACCACCATCATCATCATCATCACCATCACTATCATCACCACCATCATCATCACCATCATCATCGCCCTCATGTTCATCGTCGCCATCATCATCCTTGCTGTTTCTACTCTTGTCATCGTGATCACCATCTTCGTCCTCCTCCTCCTCATCATCATCACCACCACCACATCACCATCATCATCATCATCGTCAGAATCATCACAATAACCATCATCACATGCAGCAACACCAGCGCACCAGCGCCATCATAAGTATGATGTATCCGCTGAGTTACAATCATGACGGTAGCCTGCATCAGTGCAAGACAGACCGCCGCATCATACTCTGTGCCATTTCCTGCAAATCTGATTCTGTGGCCTTTGGCTTGTAGGGCTGCCTTCAGGGGGTCCAGGGCCTGTTGGCCCCTCCCCACTCCCGAGAAGCCATGCGTGCCGGTGCAGCCTCTGCAGCGCGCTGGGCGAGGCCCTCCGAACAGCGGTGCGAGCCAGGAGGATGATGATGATGCTGATATTACCAACAGTTATTGTTATGAAAATATTCAAATTCAAGTCTTACTGTGAAGTAGAAGTAGAAGTAGAGGAAGAAGTAGGAACGAGTAGGAACAGGACCTAGTAGGGGTAGGAGAAAGGGAAGTAGAAGCAGAACAAGCGGGAAGAGACAGAGCGACGAAAGAACCAGTAGCAGTAGCAACAGCACGACAGTAGGCATCGCGACCGAACATGTCACATCAGTGTCTGTGCCACTACTGACGGAGGAACTTGCAGTACTCCATTCTCCCTACTTTTCTTTTTTTTGGCATTGGTTTGAGATGAGCAGAGCTTGGGCTGCGGCTCTGAGTGAGGCCTTGGAGTGTGGAGAGCTTCTCGGGTTCAGTATTACTACATTATATCACAGTATATGATATTATATTATAATATAATATA